AGACGTACACTGTACGTCTCCCGTCACAAAGGGGTTAAAGATAACAAATAGTAGATGGAAAATCTTCTATAATGTAAACCTATAATAAATATTAGTAATAAAATTACAACAACAATAACATCAGAGATAATAGCAACAGTCATATATGCAATGGCCTGTTTTGATAATTGTTGGTAAATTGGGACCATTTACCAAGAAAACCCTTTCATATTGGTATCTTGATATATTAAAAAAAATCAGTGCTGATGACTAAAACAAGGATCCAAAAAAACACTAGGGCATATTTACATTTGCAAAACATTATTAATACACTCAGTGTAAAAGTATTTACCCTATGTATAAAACATTTGCAGGTTGGTCACATAACATTCACCAACAAATATTCTTCAGTGGAAATGGGTGGTTTCTGTAATACTTGACCTAGACAAGGCAAATGTTACATTCCCAGCACATTCAATGAACAGTTTTTTGGGTGGAAGATCATTACAGGTCTTAGGAAAGCAGTGCTAAGCCTGTTTTTTTTTAAACACAAGTTTAGAAATCAAGAGGTTTATTTATTTATTTATTTTATCACTGACAAAGGTTAACCTGCTCTTAATGTTTTTTTGCATGTCAACATCCCTTTGGAGGAGGAGGGGGAGGAGGAGCATATGGGCTGGTATTTGCGTAGCAAGGAGCCATAAATGCAGGATACCACAAACAATTAAATTAACTTAATAAACTATCAAATTAGTGATGAAACTATATTAAAGGAATGAAGAAGTGCAAGCTATTTCATTATTATATTCACTTTCTTCCCCTAAAAATGTTGATGAGGGGAGGAGGGGGGTTTATACCCACCAGGACCTTTAAAGGAGAACTATGGGGTTAAGGCCTTTCCCCTTAGGGTAACGGGAGGACACAAACTGGCGTCCTCCCGTCACCATAAGCTCAGTATACCGCGAGCTACAGCTCGTGGTATACTGAGACGCCACAGTATACCGCGAGCTACTGCTCATGGTATACTGAGACGCCGCAGCTGAAGCGGATCCCGACAATTATGTCTGGATCAGCCCAGCTGCGTGAGTGACAGCTGGCTCTGCCTATCTAGAGGCAGAGCTAGCTGTACCCGCCGCCTGCCATGTGAAAGGCAGACGTAGCTATCCCCGCCCCCTACCCCATCCGATCCGCCAGTCAGCACTGGCGGATCGAAGCGGGGAGGGGGGAATCCAGCCCCCACTGTCATGGCAGAGAGCTGTGACAGGATCGAGAGGTGAGCGAACGCCGGTACGTGTTCGCTCACCTCCCGATCTACTGAGCCGACCTGTGACAGTCTCATTGTCACAGGTCGGCTAGAACTATGAGGTGAGTGAAAAACACTCGCCTCATAGTTCTCCTTTAAATTCATGTAAAAAACTGTTGAAAATTATGCAGTTTACCCATATTGACGATTTAACACAACATGCCTTGTTTATTAGAACTGTGTTTAGTTCTAAATACTTCTGAATCTAAATCTTTACAAAGCCTACTGTACCATGGCAACCTTTTTTGCAGGCAATTATAGTTAGCAATCTTACTATAGGCTTTGCTAAAATCAGAGTGAGCATTTAAAATTGAACATATGGTGTAATTTAATAAAGCTGTACATTTTCACTTGTGCAGAGAAATAATAAAAATAGGAATTTTAAATTGATTGAATGGTTACAGCTTCTGTCAACAAAATGTTTACAGCTTCACTGAGTTACATTTAAAGAAGAAGGCAACATTTTTATGAACCCTTGCAGTGGGGCTACCTTCACACTGCAAGGCTTAACTGCTCATTTTGGTCTAGGGAGAAAAATAACAGTTATGCTTACCCAATACTTGGAGCCAGCCAGCTGTGCCAGTGATCCCTCCATCCTGTCTCTCCCCCACTACTCAGCATCCTCACATAATATATACTGGGGGGAATTGATCAAAACTGGAGCAGACAAAATATGGAGCAGTTTCCCATGGCAACCAATCAGCTTCTCTCTTTGGTCTGTTTAGTTAAGATTTAAAAATGAAAGAGAGAAGCTGATTAGTTGCCATGCACAGCTTCTCCAGGTTTTGTCTGCTCCAGTTTTGATAAATTCCCCTCACTGTGTATAGAACGTGATGACTCAGGGACCTTAGACTGCTGCAGCGGACTGGGAGCAAGGCTGGAAGGACCAGTCTAAGAGCAAGCAAGCTATATATATATAATCCTAAAAATACAGTTGTAAATATAATGGGGAAATGGCCTGAACAAGATCAGATTATACTTGCACACATTATATCAGATTCATGAGAAAGTTCTATTTTTATAGCCCTATATGCTACTCCAAGATCAAGATAAAGTGGGAAAGGTTAAAACGTCTGACAGCTCCTTTCCAAAGGGCACACAGACATCAATAAAAGCCTAAGATAAGTTCTAATTTAAGCTAAATGGACTTTTAAAGCAAACTAAGGTGCCTAGGGTTAGTGTAAAAATGTGTACTTTAGTAAACCAGCCATTATGTTGCTGGAAATTCCAAGTAGGTATAAGTATACCAGAGCAGGGCACACTGGAATTCAAACTGTGCCTGACACCAATGCTATTATTACAAATCACCAGCCAAGAACTGGAATGTTAGCAAAATAGCAATTCTAACTTTTTTGAACAGTTTCTTTAGAAGAAAACAAGCTGACAGTGAAAAAATATCTGCAGGATATGTATTTGTGTTACATTTTGCTTATCTGGGTGCTGCTATAGGGAAATAATTGTTGAGCACATTGGCACCGGACCAGAAAGCATGAAATTAAAAGACACAAATAACACGCCAAATTAGAAGTCACATTAAAAGCCAAGTGGCTGCTTTAGTTAGATCATGAAGATAATAACACTGTAAAATTCCAGCCTCAGATCAATTTATACAGCAAGATATAAAAATATAAAAAGGCAATACATAAAGCAGCTATGTTGTTAAAATGATAGTTCCTTTGGTTTCATTTGACCATATCAGCAATGAATTAAAGCATATCTAAGCTATTGGTGTGTATGTGAATGCTGTAAAAAGGTGGCCTGCATTTAGTATTGTATTGTATTCAATATGTTTATCTGTAAAAGGAACACTTTATGATTTGTGTTTATGGTTAGCAAATTATTGTATTCAGCATCTAATACTGAAATCAATTAACTTTACATTCAAAGATTTTGTCACTTCATTGTACTGTATTACTTGTGCTTCAAAAAGCTCATTGCTGAATATTTGTAAAAACGGTTCAGAAAATCTTTTTTGTGTGTAAAGTGTATGTATAGCCATGTTTTTAGCTAATATGGGGGTAGGTTAGTACCCCATCAGTTTTTTTTAATTGCTGACAAACCAGAACGCCAAAATTTACAGTGACACTTTTAGAGTACAGAACCACATTTTGCCCTTCTAGGAAAATCACTTCAATGAACTGATTTTCAATTTGTTGACTTTATTAACAACAAAAATTAAGGAAATCAAGTTTCCACTCTTTCTAGTTCCATCTCCCCAGTGCTCCAGAGATCATCACTTTTCATTACATCCCAAAAATCTCATGTTCTACTTAAACTTTTCTACTCGCCTTCTCAGTCACTTCAAAGATCAATATCATGTTAAAATCCTAATAGTGGAGACTTGAAAGAGAACTATGGGGTAAGTGTTTTTCCGCATAGTTCTCTTTAGGGTCACAGGAGGACATATACTAACCGCCTCCTATGACCCAAAGCTCAGTATATCGCGAGCTATAGCTGGCGATATACTAAGAGCGCCGCAGCCAGGATGGATCCCGGCAATACTGTTGTGATCCTCCAAGCTGCGTGAGTAACAGTTGGCTCTGCCTATCTAGAGGCAGAGCCAGCTGTGCCCACCCCATTCGTTCCCCCACTCAGTGCTGGAGGATCGGAGAGGGGAGGGATCCTAGCTGAGAACGGTGACTGGCAGTCACTGCTCACTGCAGGGAGACGATCGGGAAGTGAGCGGATTGCCTGCATGTTTCTGCTCACTTCCCAATCAAAAGAGCCGACCTGTGACAGCTTATTTGTCACAGGCCGGCTCTGACTATAAGGATGAGTGGAAATCACTCACCTTATAGTTCTCCTTTAATCTCTGCCAACCCAAAATCACTGAACATAATCTAACTTTTATTTTTGTACATTCCTTTTTAAGGCTATACTGCCCTATTAACATAAAAATTATGCATTCTATAACGCAAACTCTTATTTTTTTTATGCAACCTAGATTTTCCTCTTCCAATGGGAATTTTTTTTTCTATTCTGACATTGCTCCGTGTCAGAATAAAGAAAAAGCAGTGTTTCTCTCCTTGGCGGCCAGGAGCAGAAGACTCCCGGAGAGCCAGGGAGAGTTAGCTGTTTGGAGATCAGTGTCGCTGGTTAGCAGGTAACCAGGGACGCTGATCTCTCTGCAAGTGGCCGGAGCCAGCCGTAAGAACGTGGTCGAACCGAAGGGGTCCTGGGGCCGAAGCTAGCCGAAGGATCGGCCGAAGCTACGGCTAGATCCTCTGGCAGCTTCGTGAATAGACCCCATAGTATCAACAACAGGAATGAATATAACTGTGCAGTGGTTACCTACATAAAAAACATTATTTTAAAAAAAGTTGAAAATTATTATGTAATCAGTTAAAAAAAGCTACATACTTTTTGTGACGACTCCGTCCAAGTGAATGATATTTGGGTGATCAAATTGTCCCATTATACTTGCTTCTCCCAAAAAATCTCGTCTTTGCTTATCAGTGTATCCAGCTTTAAGAGTCTTGATTGCCACAGGAAACTCTCTCTTTCCAGGAAGTCTAATTCGACCACTGCAAACTTCCCCAAATTCACCTGCAAATGAAAAAAAAAATGAATGCAATCAACTAATAAGTTAACCAGTCAATCAATCAATCAATCAAACATAAATCTACTCTTATATTTTACATCAAAATTAAACCCGGCTTTAAAAAAAATACAAAAATAATGGCAATAATTTGTTTGCTATTTTTTGTCTTCTAGCTGGTCAATAATACAGCTATAGCTGCTGCTATTACTACTTAACTATAGAGCTATGGAAACAAACAGGTTCATGTCAGCTGTTTTTCAGTGTATCCTAATACATTTTATGACATTTACAAATGTGCCTTGTATTGTAACTGTAGCCATTACTTGTATTGTAACTGTAACTGTAGCCATTACAATTAGCAAATTCAGCTTGTAAAAACCATTCAAGGAGAACTATGGGGTTAAGTCTTTTCCCCATAGTTCTCCTTAGGGTAACGGGAGGACACAAACTAGCGCCCTCCCATCACCCTAGGCTCAGTATACCGCCCGCTGTAGCTCGCGGTATACTGAGACCCCGCAGTATACCGCGAACAGCTGCTCGTGGTATACTGAGACGCCGCAGCTGAAGCGGATCCCGACAATTGTGCCGGGATCTGCCCAGCTGCGTGACTGACAGCTGGCTATGCCTATCTAAAGGCAGAGCCAGCTGTACCCGCCCCCTCCCCCGTCCCTTCCGCCAGTCAGCGCTGGTGGATCGGAGTGGGGAGGGGGGAATCCAGCCCCTCCCCTGTCACGGCAGAGAGCCGTGACAGGATCGAGAGGTGAGCAAACGCCGGGATGTGTTCGCACACCTCCCGATCTACTGCGCCGACCTGGGACCGTCTCATTGTCACAGGTCGGCTAGAACTATGAGGTGAGAGGGGGAAGAGGAGTGGAAGAGAGAAGGAAGGGGTGAAGGGGAAGAACATCTATCACCTTCTCTTATTGTGGGATCTATTCTCTCCACAATCATCTCTCCAATATTAGGATCAGGAAAATACAAATATGGCAAAACATTTTGCCACATTGCATAATTTCAATACAGAATCTTTGAGGGTCCAGATTGTGGAGAGAATAAATCTCCCACTTAGAAAATGGGGTAGATTTTCTATTCTAAGTAGAAGAGAAGTCTTTTGGATCTTTAGAAGAATGAACTTTAAATGAGATGTGACACATTATTATAAATAGTCTGTTTTACATCCATTCTCTGGTAACTGAAATCCATCATAAATCCTCAGTGTAAATATGCATGCAAAATCCCTAATCAAAGTTATGGGTTGAGTTTTAAACTGTGAATTTTGTTCCGAAATATTAGTTTTGTATTCAATGTTGATTGAGCATACACTATTCTTACATATTCCCCCTATTCTTTCCCCCCCCTTCTTTTCTTTCCCTTTTTTCCTCCCCCTTCCCTTTTTCCCCCCTTCTTCCTCCAATGGACATCTGTGTAGCAGAAGCCAAACAGCTGATCAGTTCAACTCCTGGGATTAGTGCTGGATGTTGGCTATCATTGACATCTGGTGGTACCAGCCGGGACCCACAGGAGTTGCCGATTCCTTGTGCCATTTTAAAATGGCACTGGGAAAATAGTCACCACCCCCTGTGCTGTTTTAAAATGGTACCTGGGACTCAAGTGGTTAAAGTGGGTAAAGCTTCCCAGGAATAAAATCTCCTTTAGTAAATTAACCCATTAGTCCAGTGACTGGGGAACTTTCTGATGCAGTGAGCATCCAACGAGAGATAAAGGCATTGAGGAAAGGACTTGACAACATAATATTGCTCTTGTATTGTCATTTTATTGCATTAGCTCTTGAAGCTTTGAAAGCTTGAAAGCTCTTTCAAATGTTATCCGAAAGAACAATTCCACTGGAGTTTCATTCATTGATGAAGATGGGTTAGATCAGTCTAGCTTATGAATGTTACATGCCAACATGATCCCTCTTAACTTTATCTGTCCGCATGTTATTTTTCCTTCAATCAATTTGCCTCTATTAAGTATGAATCCAACAGAAGTCTTCAGGAAAATGTCTGGTACCCAGGCAAGTGGCTGGTATAAAACTAATACAGCTTAGTAGCAGGCTAGCAAAGGGTTGACCGCAGAAACAAGGCAAAAAACATTTCAGACTTTACCCAGGCCCTTCCAATTACTCTTCATTTCACCTAACTGTAGCGGAATAATAGCCACAGTGGCAATTTTCTCACCTACATAATAATTATAGCTTTAATTCAATACAAATATATGTTCCATACAAAATAAATGTGTATCTTATATTAAACACATATAATAATTAACACATATAATTAAGCCAAGCAAAACTTCATAAAATTGTTTTCCTGCACTACAAACATGAACAGTTTCAGGTATACTGTACATAAACACACTAATGCAAACATGAATAATATAAAAGTGCAAACAGACAATATATGCATATAAAGAATACAATACATAACCTCTAATGTTACATTCAATAAAAATGGCTGCTTAATGCATTCCTGTGGGAAAATATGATTTTACTATGGACAAAGCAATTAATGGTAGCAGCCTAGGAATCAGATGTAGAAAGCTTCATGGCTCCCAATCTCTAACTAGGAACTAAGGCAAAACTACAGCAGAAAAAAAGAGTCCTAGCTAAGACTTCACCCTCCAGTGGGCATACAAACAGGTTGCCTGTTTATTAATTAAGTTGTGTGAATAAACATAAAATTCAAGATAGTTTGCTATACTAATATATATAACCTGACACCACTGAATATTGTACAGAGGAGTATTCATGTGAATTTGCAATCTCTGTGGTAGGTGAACTTACAGTGACATTAAAGAGTTAAATCTTAAAAACGCATTTAACATTTAAGGAACCTAACTATTAACAAAAATGTATCTTATTTGTGTATCACTCAGCTGTAGATCCTCAAATCATGCTGAGACTGTCCTTCCTTCTGGAGGGTGACTACTTTTTTCCCCATAATCCTTGTGTGTGTAAAGCAGCCATTGCTCCAAGCTCACTTCCATGATGGACTACAATCTCAATACAAATTAGTAAACTGAACGTGAGATTGTAGTCCACCATGGGGTTGAGCTGGGAGCAGTGGCACACACAGAGACCATGAGAAACAAAAGTAGCCACCATTCAGAAGTAAGGACAGTGTCAGCACAAATTCAGAGAGAATTTGAGGATCTACTATTGAGTGATACACAAATAAGGAACATTTTGTTATTAGTTAAGGCACTTAAATGTATTTTAAGTATTAACTCCTGAGTTTAGTGCCACTTTAATATGTTCTCATGAAGAGGCAATGGAGAGTTGATGCATGTTTCTTTAGAAAATATTGCATGGCACAGTGGCAGGAGAATACAGATTTATTAAAGGAGCAAACAGAAATTTGCTTTTCATGTGATTCTATGGGGGTGATTTACTAACCTAGACACACGCACACACCAGGTGCGTGTGATTTTTACACAGCAAAGCGTATTTATCAACCAAAAAGTCTCTATACGCATGTTTCCACTAATGCCATATATGGAAAAATCATGCACATGATGCATATATAATGCTGCTTCACAGTTTAGACAAAAATGGTTAGCTCATGCATTTACATTCCTGCATTCATCAACGCAAGCAACACAATGTAGAGCTAATTTACACAACATCACCTTGCAATTCAGGGCAGGGCTTTGCACAACACACCTGCTGGGTGTGTACACACTACAAAGGTGTTTAGATTCCACCCATAGATCATGCTGGGAGGGAACACACTACAGAGGTGTATACATGTTCGTGGTGTGTTTATAAGGTTAGTAAATCAACCCCTATAATTCATTAATATAGTATTATAATAAGTAATATAATATCACTTAATTTGTTAAGTGAAGATTCTCAACTCCTTTAGTAAATCAGCCTCAATATGTTAAAATTAAGACTCAGTTTTGTTTTTCAGTTGATGCAGGCATGCTGAAATACCCATGGATTCCTTGTATCTATCTTTAATTCCAGCTATGAGAAGTCCTCATCTGAGTTGCTTTTCTCCTGCCCACTACAGCCAAGGAGTGCAAAACCTCCTCTTGCTATAAAATTAACTGCAGTTTTCAATATAACCAGGAACCAGGCACAGAGAAATGCAGAAACAAATCCATACCAAACTTTGGTGGTCGGCTCTGACCATCAGAAGAATGTTGCTCAATGTAATGCCAATGGTGATCATTCTCAAGTGAACTGAACATATTTATTGCACAAACAACTCTTTTTGGTGACAGCTTTCATGTCATCAGATTACAGTGCCAACATACAACAATATATAAGCAGGCTACAAAATTCAGAGCACCGTGAATGTAAGGCCACAGAAAATCACGTTATTAATTCTCAGGTGAGGTGAAAAGATGTAGTGTACTAACATATCCGTTTTGGTTACAGTTACCACATCATCAGAATATAGTGCCAAGGTAATATAACATTTGTTCATATGCTACACAATGTAGAGCACCTATGACTTTCAACATGTCACCTTGTTCTAGCAAACTGTACACTCTCATTGTAAACAGAAATGTTGAGTGCTCTTTACATGAGTATATTATATCAGAGCATTACCAATGGTTTACTCTTAGGCCATTTATATAAAGCAAAGCTAAACGTGTACTAACCATACTGATGAATCAAAGGAATTTCTGTACCATCTGTTGCCATGGGTTATTGCATATCACTATACTTTTCAAGATGATAAACATATAAAGTTCCCTATTTTAGAGCTTATACAGTGTAGAAATGCCTTAAAAACAACTTTAAAGCAAAAGAGATAATACTGGATCGCTGCTTTGTATATTTTAACCCCTACATTGGAGTTTTAATCTTTTAAAAGAAGCTGGGGTTGGGCTTTAATGCTATACCATTGCTCTTGATTGTTTTAACAGATACATTACACAGATAACACTAAATTAAGGTAATACCTTACCTGCTCCAATAACTCGCTCAATAGTTATACAGGAAGCATCGATTTCCTTGGCAAATTCATGTACTGCCTGGTTTGGGTCTTCATAGGTATGAGGATCAATGTATGTTTTTATTCCGGGCAGTTTAACTGTCGAGGAACAGAAAACTATCTCTTTATTAGTCAGAAATGTCATTTCATAAATAAAACTTTTACTTGTCAGATATTGTTTGTCAAATGGATGATGGAATTTGCAAAGTGAAAATTCCTTTGCAAAGTGAATAGCTTCCTTGCCTTTAGTTTGTGACTGTACCACTTTCCCCAACCCCTATGTGGTTTCTTGGCTTGATCATCTGTATTGGAGGCCGGGGAAGACATTAGAAGTATAATAGACTCCCTGATGTCTCCATAAATGCTATCACATAGGGGATTGTTTGCCCCTTTGCAATAGCAAAAAAGTTAAGTAAAAAAATAAAGTGTTAAAAAGGAAAGACTATAAATTAAAACCAACCCCGCTGCCTCCTTAATCTGCATGTGAATGAATGTACAAGTAGGGCATGCACATGGACATAAAAAGCAATTGCACCACACATAAGGTATCACCGCTAACATCTGAGTGAGAGCAATAATTCAAAGGACATTATTCGCTGTTAACTCTGATGAGCAGTAAAGGCTTTTAAAGCGTTATTCGCTGTTAACTCTGATGAGCAGTAAAGGCTTTTAAAGCGTTATTCGCTGTTAACTCTGATGAGCAGTAAAGGCTTTTAAAGCGTTGCCTATGGACAATTTTGAGCACCATAGTTTTTCAACAGTGCACTGGGGTGTGCAATTTGAAGGCTTGACATATTCAGTATTTATTCACTCTATGTGACCCCATCAAAAACTGGGTATTAGATTGTGTTTGTGAGCAATAAAATTCATTTTAGTGTATTTCTTCCTAAAATAATATTTTAGGTAATTTGTAAAGTAATTTGATAATCATTTGCGCGAATATCAGGCGACATAAAAAATGCAGTTACAATTTTTTTTATTCTTCAGGGCCTCTGCTTTAAGAAAATATATCATTGTTTGGGGGTTTAAAGTAATTTTCTATCCAAAAAAATTTGATTTTATCTTGTGTGTGAAAAGAATTGCTCTGTTTCTAAAGTGGTTAAATTATATTTGCCACAATTATTAAAATAAACATTGAGAAGAACATATATAATAAACATATGGTACTTACTGTGTCCATTATGAAAATGCATCTTTTCCTCTTCTGGATCCTGCTTAGCCTTACTGTATCCACACCGCCTGTAACAAAGACTATTATTATGATTTTTTTTCCCGTAGTTATTACTAGTAACAGTGTCTATTCAAAACCGACAGCCTGCTTCTGACAGCTGGACGGAGCCAGCTGTGATGTTACGGCTAGCTCCGGCCACTTGCAGAGAGATCAGCGTCCCTGGTTACCAGCTAACCAGGAACACTGATCTCCAGACAGTCTAACTCTCCTGGGCGCTCCGGGAGTCCCCCGCTCCCGTCCGCCAAGGAGAGAAACACTGCTTTTTCTTTCTTTATTCTGACACGGAGCCATGTCACAATAGACGCGCGATTTTTGCAGCAATATCGCTCATATTTCCACGCGATGTCGCTCTACGTAGCTTCTCCAATCCATTTCAATGGAGCTGTTCACATCTCACCGTTCAATATCGCTCAATATCGCATGTAGCTCGTTGCTGTAGCTTGTCGCTCCTACATGACCCTTTTTTCTGCGGATTTCGACCGATTTTGCTCCTGATTGCATACAGCCCAATAGGAAAAAGTCGCGCAATAGCGCACATGGAAGATCGCATGATTTTCATGTTGCTCAGTGTGAATGGGGCCTAAAAAGTAAAACTGTTGTAGCTCAAAACCTTTCTTCTAATTTTTAATTTTAGAATTCTACTCTTAATGGGTACCGCACTGTAGCCCACACAAGAGAACCACAGAAAGGAGCACCAGATGAAAAAGTATGAAAGAGTCCTTTCCCCTGAGCTAAACACAACTTTCCCTTCCATAGATGTGTACATACCAAGACCTGACTGCCGCAGCACTCTCTCTCATCGCTTAGCAGGCACACTACATACCCATAGACCTCTATGGGGCTTGTTTACCTTTGTCTCCTGACCAGTAGATGGAGGTAGACAAGCCCTATAGAATTCTTAATTATTACCAAAGAAATAATTTCCCTTTTCACTTTATCACGTATTACCTTATCACTTCTAAATAAAGGACTTGGTCAGTAAATTGATTTTGATCCATTCCCAATCTGTAATATAAAGTGAAATGTTTTTATTTAATATAGTTGAAGAGTCTGGGCTGGTGCTAACCTTGAGCAAGATTTTTACATTTTCAAACTTTTATTTTACTTTCAGCACTCATTCAAAGAGTGTGATAGACACATAGGGGTCTATTCACTATGCTGCCGAGGGCAGCCGAGTGAATGACCGATCAGTTGTGAAGTGAGCCGAACACTGTTCGGCTATTCACTTCAGGCTGATACGGCTGATTTCAGCCGTACATCGGCTGAAATGCGCCGTACATCGGCCTGCTTCGTGCTGAGCATGTTCGGCCGACCCGAAGTGCAGAAGGAGTTTGACTCAGCCGATCCAACATCTGGATCGGCTGAGCCGAACCTCCGGCAGGCTTCTCACTTAGACCCCATAATGTATATCTGTCTCACATCCCTGCAACAAATGACACAACTTGCGACAGATTTACGTAACTGTCAGTAAGGTGTTCCTTAATCTGTTGCATAATTGCCTCAGACAGAATTTTTTTCTCCGGCAGAACTTTGTCTGCAACACAATCTTTACACATGCAACACAATTTACCCTAACATAAAAGAGGTCTGGTTTACTTACACTTCTCTTACCCTTAATAAATGATACTGAGGAGAATAGGAAATTCCATAGAAAGCTCCATCTAGCGGCTGTAATGCCTTTATGCATAAGCTCCTTAGTGTTGTTTATCTCTTCAGTGTCTGCAGCAAGTTTATTATTCTTAAGTCCTCACTCTTAATAACCAAGCTAATCCCTGTCCCTAGGATATTCACAAATATCTATAACGAAAGAGCATTCTTTAGAATGTGTGAGCTCTCTTAATACAATACAAATATTTTCTCCTTGGAGAAATTTTTTTCCCCCAAGATTCTCTAAATAAGCAGGAAAATTGCCAGGGCTATAAAAAGGCCTTTGTCACTGCTAAATGGTTCATAGTATATTATCTAAAGTGCGATTAAAAGGGCGGTAGAAGCAGCTTATTTTTCATTCTGGGGATCTCTAGAGGTCGATAAATGTATACAGCAGCATGTCACATTAACATACAAAATTAAGTCATGAAAACCCCAAAGTACAATAAAAACATGTCTGAACACGATGTGCTGCATAATACTATAATACTATAGCAGGTTTATGTTGGCACGGCTGCACTGGTTCGGCTTCACTAATAATGCATGGCAGAAATCCTGTCCATGAAACATTATCTACCTTAGAGCTTCCAGATGTACTAAATTTACTGATCAGATAAACAGGCCATAAATTTGTCACTTAGTGAACAAATTATGCCCTGTACCGTCTGGCATGTAAATGCTGGCTTTTTGAAAAACAGATGTGCTAGATTTTGAGGAAATGGCTTCCAGCCTGTACTTCAGCAGTAAAAGTGTATCTGAACCCTAAATAATGTGTTGTCAAATCTTGTAATCCAATTGAATCAAATCAAAACCCACCTACAAATTGAAAGATTTGTTAAGGTCAGTATCATAGTAAATTCTGAAAGTTTTGTTGATGTCTGCCATTTCAGACAGCAGAATTGTTTATTAAAAGGAACAATTGTAGGATAGATTTACTGGCTTTAGATCAACCTTGCCAATGTGTGTAGAAACCACCAAATATGAACTTGTTAATCCTATAAGCCACTGGCGGTGTATAATAAGTAAACAAAAACTCTGCTTTAATCTTTTACCAGGCACCTAATTACACCTCCACTTGGGGCTACCACCTTACCTGTCATAGTACACAAATAAGGTGAAGCCAGTGAGTCAATTACACCCCATACACAAACAGGCAATGCTCTCTGCATACATGAGCAGCCAGGGTGATTGGTTAAAGCCCAACTGAACTTGCAGTTTAAATCAGCTAAATACATTCCAGGTACATCAAAACAAAACGTGTACAAAGTCTTAAAGATCATATTCTTTGCAAAGCAGGCACATCCTAAATTTAAAAGCCTGTTGTCTACCAGAGTGCTGAAGAAAATAAACCTTGCTTTGTGGGTGGAAGCAGCAGCCTCTCTGTAGAGGTCCAACACAACTCCTGGCTGAGTCAGAGTTTGAGCTTTCCAATCAGAAAAGATAATTCTCCCTGCTGATTGGAGAATTCTAGCTCTGATTCAGCAGAGTGTAGGCCTTCTATACAGAGAATGTTTTCACACAGAGAGCAAGGATCCTTTTCTGAAACATGCTAGCAAGGGAGAGGCTGTTTCTAACTGGGGCTTTGGCTGCCTTCAAAAGAAGATGAACTTTAAGACATTTGATGCACCAGGAATGTAATGTATTTACCAGATTTAAACTGAATGTTCAGTTGGAGATGAGGTCCTAGCTGCTGACTTGACAAAAAGGTCAACATTTGCTTTTTAGTAGCATTGCTGTTCAGTATGCCCACACTGTACATTTTGTGGAAAGGAGGAGTGTGTTTGAAACAGCTGATGTTTACATACTCCAGGAATGGAAAGCTTGACTGTAATAAATATAACATAAATATAATGCAACCTTTAAAAATACTCCTGCTCTCTGTACAAATGAGTTTGATTCAACTTCCCATCATTCAAGAATTTGACTATGTATTTGACAGGCTGAATGAATAACTAACTTGATGCAAACAACATCATAAAGAATTTTTAAAATATCTGTTCCTTTTCCATGGTCAATGCTAACTACATATAGTAGCTAATTTATTAAAGGAGTAGACAAATGTCAGCTTGTAAAATAAAAGTTCTTGTAGCTTAGTGAATAAGTTGAAGCTGTGTACATTCGAAAGAATCCTGTTTTTGTTATTTCCCTTGCATATCATTGGGCATTTAAAGTGAAAAAGCGTCACCTTATCCACTAAGTTAAGTAAGAATTCATTTTGATAAATGGATATTCTCTACTCCATTAATAAACTGACTTTATACTCTTCATTATCCTACAGTATTTGAGATTTGGAAGTTATTATGCATTTAAAGGATAAGCGTATTTTAAATAAAGTTTGGACTCAGGCCAGCTATCTCCCATTACTGACCTCAGGTCATTTAGTGACTTCCTTCTCTGGCTACCTAAATATTGCTGACTTGCAAGGCAGCATTTTCAAGCGTTCAATGAGAAAATGAATTGCATAACAGTATGCACTGGCCCAGCAGTTCTGTTGAGAGGGCTGAAAAGCTGCCCAAACCTGCTTAAGCCGCAGTCAATAGATCAGGTCACTGGATCTTCTGCATGTAATGGGGGATGTATGTAGGATGAAGAGACTGAGGAGGGGCAATTGGCCTCAACTTATTTAAAATACAGTTATTCTTTTTGTTTTGTAAAGCAATGTACCTGCATTACTATGTCAGTATCATGTTCGTTTTTAAATAAATGTTTTCTGTCAGTCTTTTTACTGACAGAATTGATTGCGGTAATGTGAACAATATTTGGACCGACTTGTTTACAAAGAATAAAATATTAGACAATGTACATACGAAGGGATATTACCAAGTATATGATCGGTACATTTATTTACATATACCATATACTCTCTACTTAAGCAATATTGCACGCTAACCATCATAATTAGATTAATTTATACATTCCCATTAATTTCTAATACATGGTCCAAAATAAATAAACAATCTCTGTAGAAATGTTGAAAAGGAAATGCACTCGAGAGATACGCAAATTCATTTTCTAACTGTGAATATACAATTAGCTTTCAATCATTAATGGCTGTGATTCCCTGCAAGTCAAGACCTAGTAGTTGCAATTTATGCAAATACATTTATATTTTGTCTTGTTCCGACCCCAATTATCCAGATAATTACTGGGGACTCTCTGGAAAGGCAAATTAACTGTTTACAGAGCATTCTGCTACAGCTTGCTTGACCCTTATAATGACAATGCTAACCAGAACTTGGTTAATATCTAATCTTATTAGTTGGATGGAAAAACTAAGTGGCTGTCGTTTAATGAGAAATCTAAACTTATTATGAATTTGATTAGAAAATAAACATACTTTGGTCTGAAAAATTAATGGAGAAAACATATGTATGCAGAAGCAGAGACATGTTTTTATAGGATTTTCTCTCTAAACTTATCGTATTACTCTGTAATGGAAATAATTGGTTTATAAAAAGAACTCCATAAAAAAAATCTATTGCATGGATATTATATAAATATACTATGGGGTCTATTCACTAAGCTGCCATAAGCAGCCGAGTGAACGACCGACCTGAAGCGAAGTGAGCCGAACACTGTTCGGCTATTCACTTCAGGTTTGTATGGCTGATTCCAGCCGTATATCGGCTGAAATCAGCCGTACATCGGCCTACGGCTGCTTAGTGAATAGACCCCTATGTGTGTTTTTTTTTCATTATATCATTTATTTAGGCCATGTTACGAACACTGCTGTCCTGTGGTTTTTTTTTTCCTTGTTATTGAAGCACTTTTGTAAATGACAACATTTACAGTGCAATCAGTGGTGACATTTGTTTAATGTTTAGAATATTGCACATTGAAGGGACGTTACTGGAGACTATACTGTAGTGTGACACAGAACATTTTTTTTTTGTAAAACAATGTATATTTATTTCTATATACAATTGTTAGGAATAAGGTAAGCATTTCACTTTGGAAAACGTACGCAGGTAAGTCATTCCTAACTCATTACCAAAACTAAAAATCAAAAGTTCATGCTGTTTGCCCAAATGGATCTGCATATCAGGACCTTTTTACATGCCTTTATGCCTGATGGATCTGGGAATTCCATCCCAGCATGTCCCTGGTAGAAAAAAAATGGTGATTCTGTTCTTCTAATAGAAGGACAAAATATATGCATGTAATAGATGCAGCTGCACTCCAAGGAAGGAAAGCAAGTTCCTGCTATACAGTAGAATGGTAATTGTTGATTGGAAAAAGCAGAAGGATTGCTGTCTGTCATTGATCTCTCATAAAACTCAAAAGAAGTTGGGTTACGCAACTTGAAAATGCTTCAAATCACATGGATGGATGGGGGTTAATTTACTAAATACAAAAAGGCTGCTCACTTTGCATGGGAATTTGCACTTTGCAGGGGAGGTTTTTCTTACAGGGTTATTCACAAAAGGGTGAAGAGTTTGGAGAAGGCAGGAGAAGTGAACAATCTAGGACAACAAAGCTGAACTACAAAGTGAGCTAAATTGGAGAATTTTTCCAAATCAGCTACTTTGGCCTAGACTGTTCACTTCTCCTGCCTTCTCCAAACTCTTCACCTTTTGTGAATAACCCTTTTAGTTTAGTGAATGAGGTGAAGCTCTGCTGACTTCTATCAGCCAATCATGTGCAAGCATAAATAAAGTTTTTTTAATTTTCCTTCTGCATGATTGGGTATTCTTTGCCAAGTGAAATTTCACCACATTCGCCATGCTATGGGAAACTCCCCCTGCATGCAAATTACCTTGCAAAGCACACAGCCTATTTGATTTTAGTAAATCAGCCCTATGGACTCAAACTTAGGAAATTCAACATTCTAAAATTGCAAAGTTCTAAACCCAGTTACCGTAAAATGCTGTGACATAACTCAAAGTAAGCCATTCAAGCAGGATATTCCAAAATGTATGAACTGCTATTCTTGTATACAAGAATAAGCAATCTATTTTTCTGGTCTGCTTGGCAACTATAAAAGGCATTTCATTCCATGTTTTTGTCAAGCAAAGTTTCAATCAGTTGCTAATTGTTTGCATATTTTGTAATCTGTAAGATTATTTGTTTAAAGCATGGTTGCATTAGACATTAGGAATGGTAATTGTTGCAAGTTTTGCTCATTAACCCCTTCATGACCAGCGATGTACAGTGTATGTCACTGGCATCTGGGCTGTTCAAACAGACTCCCGGTGGCTTTTGCCGCGGGACTCTTTTTAAACATGTAAAGCCAACTGTCGGCTTTACAGAAGAAGTGATTCTGGTGGCTCAGCTACCGCCAGATCGCCTCTACGGGCCGGTGAAGGCCCCCTCCACCCCGCTGTGTTTCCTGGGCTGTGTTGCCCTTCCTACGGGCCTGGGGCCGGCCTCTTTGGTGTCGGCAGGAAGCCATGGAGGAGATGGATGAACCTCCATTCGTCAATCCCCTCCCCGTTCTATGGCAGCGGAGCAATGCAGATTGCATCACGTCCTGTCCCATAGCTGTCAGTGCTGGGCTCCTGAAGCCCAGCTATAAGCATTTGCGATCTGCACTTCAATAGCTTATTTACAGTGTAAAGGTGACACTGGGGGTCCAAAGGACCCCCAGCATCACCTTAAAGAATACCTGTCACCACCATCTGCTATCACATGGGGGGCTTGTAAACGATGAACACGCTACACATGTTGGGTATCGCAGTGCACACCGGAGTGAGAACAATAGTTCTAGGGCCATTATTTTTGGGTATCTCTAAACTGATGACCTGTGGGGGTTTTTAAAGCGTTGTCTATGGACTTTTTGGGGTAATAACTTTTGTCGCTGTTTCATAGACGCACGCAATTTTAAACCTGGGCATGCTGGGTATCTATTTACTCGTTGTAACCTCATCTTTTATATTTTACAAATGGGTATTTTATTGTGTTTTGGGGCATTTAAATGCATTTTTCTCCAAGTTGTGGAGTTTGATAAGGAGTTGCTCTAATATCGTGCAACATAAAAATTTGTAACTGCCACCATTTTATTCTATAGGGTCTAGGCTTTCAGAAAATATAGAATGTTTGGGGGTTTTAAGTAATTTTCAGGCCTACAATTTGGAATATAACATGGGTGCAACAATGAAAAAAAGGCCTCAGTCATGAATGGGTTAAATAACACTGTTTCTAATTATTAATAAATAGGAGAAGATACCATTGGTCTATGCAAATGCCATTTATTGCTGCCACATAATAACAAGCATTCAATAATCTTACATTTTGATTGGACATATATTAATTGAAGATCTCATTGTGAATAAACTATGTTGTCTTGTTTTAGCATCAGAAGCATGACACATTTCAACATACCTTCCACTGAGAAGAAAACCAACAATTCCAGCTAGTAGAATAACCCCCACCGTGATGGACACAGCTATTATAGGAATCTGGCTCTGATCACCGGTTGCAGCAAATGCTGAGTGAATAGACAGAAAACAGAGATAACGATTTTAATTTTAACCAGTACACAGGAGAATACAGTGGATTTAGCAACTGCAGCTTCTGCAAAACTGTTCAGTGAAAACTGTATTTATGGTGGTGCTGCGAGTGTTTAACTTAATTTGCATATTTAGAGCAGAAACTTACAAACATCTCTGCTAGTAACCTATAAAAGCTACCCACTCATGTTAGAAGAATTATCATATTTGCTAAATAATAAGAATTGGTGAAAAGAATTGGCAATTTCCAAAATGTCATTATTTACAGAAATATATATTGACCAGTTCATAGTCCTAGATATACCATGTAAAAATTTACAGAAACATCTAGTGACCTGTTCATAGTCCTAGATATACCATGTAAACATTTACAGAAACATCTAGTGACCTGTTCATAGTCCTAGATATACCATGCAACAATTTACAGAAATATCTATTGACCTGTTTATAGTCCAAGATATACCATGTAAAAATGTTCAGAAACATCTATTGACCTGTTTATAGTCGTAGATATACCATGTAAAAATTGCCAATTCCCCTTTTTTTACATTGTTACTGGTGCACATAAAGCATGCAGTTCATTTTCATCTGACATTAAAAATATCTAATTCTTTACTAACTCTCTCTCTATACTATCTACAAGTGCCATTTTGTACAGGAGCAGCAGCATCTGCTCCTGTGATGCAGAGTAAGTTGTTATTAATTGCTGAAGGGTAACTGTGGTGGGGAAAGAGGACCAGGAGATAGTAACTTTGCTAAAGCCCCTGTATGATAGCATTTGGAGGTGACAGGTTCTCTTCATTGACCCTGTCACCTCCAATACAGGAGTTCTAGCACAGCACTGTGCTGGAACTCCTGTGACAGGTGAGAGGGGAAGACTGTTCTCCCCTCTCACAGTTTACACGGAGCGGCAGGATTACCTTTAACCCAGCCACTCTTCTCTTTGCTCTGCATCCTGAAGATTTTGGAGGCCAGCGAGCAGAGATACTGGGTGGTGACGGGGGTTGGACGGACGGATTGTATTATTACTTACATTACTGTATGCAAATAAAAATTTGAGAACAGATACGGATCAAACATAATTTGCAAACTTGTAGAGTAAGGTTAGAAAGAGGACATTCTACAAAGTCTAACTATCTCACTACTGTACTACTGAAAAAACTTGGTATTTCTTAGTGCTGTTTATAAATGGAAAGTCAGAAAATAAGCCAAAGCAGTCAGTGAGCCCACTAATGGATGTGATCTGAGCTGTCATTGGATAGCTCAGTTTACAGTGAGTATGTACATAACTAATCAGAGTGACTCTGTACCTTGTAATGGTTGTGAACCAATCGCAGCCATCACAAGTGAAAACACTTGAAGTGTTTCTGGTTATTAAACACCACCAAAAGAAAGCTCTGATCTGTATCAAATCAAAAATAATATAAAATACATTTGGGAACAGAGTTGATTGACTGAGTAATTGCGAGTCACGTTAACAACATTGAGGGCTTGTTCACACCAAATGCAGACCAGATCTGCATGAGTTTCTGCACACGCAGTACAGTGGGCTGTGCCGCATTTTTGCCGCGTTTTCTGACGCGTTTTTGATTTGTTTCGGGCCGTTTTTGGGTGAAAGAAAATTACCCCAAAATATTATTTTTTAATGTTTAAAATGGGCGTTTGCATGCATTTTTGATGTGTTTTCATGTGTTCCAGAGCATTCCAGAGCAGGTAAAATAGGGCTTGCTGCAGTTTTTTTACATGCTCTGGAACTGAACACTGCCGTGTGAACTAGAGCCCAAAATACCATTGTAATACATTGGACGCAGTTTTGATCTGGTCTGTAACTGCTCTGCTCTGCTCCTGGAACTCGCTTGGTGTGATGACTGATAACGAAGGTCAAGTGTAAAGGGAGAATGTACTGAAAAAACATGGAGGCTGCTATTCCTCTTTTAAAAAAAATTAAATTTCTCCAGGTGTCATGCTGATTCAATGGCTTCAGTATTTTTGAATGAACTATCTACATTAGGAACTCTGACTTCACTTTGACTTTCTATCTTGCAACCAAAGACATCCATGCAACTTGCATTTTTAAAACGGTAAGGAAGAGCCTCCATATTCTCTCAGTACAGGTTTCCATTAATGTCCAGATCCCGTAAATGGCCCCAGTCTGATCCTCAAGCCTCAATCTAGTGTCAGGTTTGATCTCTCCAACCTTACTGAGGCTAATCAGTGTCTCCTTGAAAAGAATCTGCTGCCCTCACATTTTGGACAAAGATCATTTCCAGGTGATCATATTTGGCTTTTGACTTCACGGTAAGAAAGAGACACAACAAAGTCCTTTTAGATTTATAATATTGTGAACATTATAATGATCAACTACTCTGTGTTTATGTTCCGTATCATTGTTTGTCATTTCTTATGCTACTAATCCAAACATTTTCATTATAATGCAAACATTTTGGAGTACGGTAAAGCAATGACATTAGCATAAACTTTAAACAGCACAGCCTGACAAAAATACACTCAATTTTTCTGATCTCTTAGTTTTTAGCACATGTTGACATTGATCCTCTATTTGTACTTAATCAAATGAGAAAGCAAGGACCAAAGTGTTAACTTATCCCACTGAGTGACATGAATAAGGCCTCTTCATTTAATGCATCAGACCTGTGAGGGGAAATCTGGAGCAGTGTAAGAATGAGAGTTCCCTGTTATGGTATTGATCTGCTGACTCTTTCCGCTAACTATTACATGGACATGAGCTGACAGTAATTAAAATGACTTACACACTGGGCTGGTTTCAAACTCAAATCTGCGACTGTAGGCACCATACCCTGCGGCTGTGCGTGCTCGGATCTGGAATATATAGGATGACGCAGGCTTTAGACCCTCTGCAATGATTTCTGTCTCCTTAGACTTGATAATTGTGTAGCTGGTTTCTTGGTCCTTAATTTGTGTGGAAAGATTAAACAAAGATATAATAGCCATGAATACAGTGTAACAAGCATAGGGTAGATATGAAAAGCAGTATGATTAACCTATAGGGGTCAACTTCAAACTGATATGGTAGAAATGTAGGAGAAGCTGTGACCAAAGCTGCCTTTTTCTGACCCAAACTGCATACCAGTTTTGTTGCTGTCGCTGTCACAATCATGAAGAATTCCTATCACTTCCTGTTATTTTGACCCTGGGACAGAAAGAGAGAGGAAATTCCCTCAAAGATGTCACAAACCACAATAAAAAGCTGGCAGAGGTACAAATCCTTCCTTAATGTATGTAATACAAATAGAAAATATTTGGCTGGAGTGATACTTTAACAAGTCAACAATGTTCCTATCTTTCTTTGTAAAGATAACCTGGGTAACAATGCATTGGTACCCCAACCCCTTCAATAAATCGTACTGTAATGTGATTTAATGTAATGAGGCTGTTCACTGCAGTCCCTAATGCGACCAAGTAATGTGCAGATTAAATAAGTAAAAAGGAATTTGCTTTTTAGATTATTAGTCAACTGAAGTGAATATTTACACAATATATTTATGAACTCTTTTAAGTGAATCAGCCACATTGTGTGCAAATTTTAGCAGGATCATGTAAAGTGAAATTTGATTGGACATTCACACCAGTATCTGGCAGTTATAGACATGAATAGTAATGAGCGAACCAAGCAAAGTTTGGTTTTCTGGACATTTGCCAAAACACTTGAAAAAATTCACGATCCCTCAAACTTAGCAATCAAATGTCAATGAACTGTAAGCTTGTTCATAGACAGGAAGTCAGTATAAACAATGAGTATTTAAATACATTTTAAAATGTTCACAGTTTTGTGTTATTTGACTGTCAGGGTTACAAATAAGGCTAAAGCATGGGAATTTAAGAACAAACAAGGAAATATCTTCTTCATGACTAATTTATGTTTTTTCAATGTAATTCTCTACATTTAACAGGTTACTAAATCAGGCCAGGGTGTTTAAAATGTATATCTTTTAAACCCTTAAATATGTAGCTTGCTTTACCCCAATCAAGCAGAAAATACTCCCACTACGAAGAATAAATTGATTTGTAATAAATATCATGCTTGTAGAACTAAACTTCACATGAGTTTTTAATTAGTAGATTGTAAAAGAGATTAATCTCCCGAGAAAGATAACTGGTTATGTACCAAATGGATACTTTAGTGACCTCGCACACTAGATACATTTTAATTGCCTGGTAATGCAATCAATTTCTGAACAACAGAGCAATACCACAGTTTATCCACATCTTGTTACTTGTCTCCTTACATTTCATTGTGCCAGACAATTAATTGCAGACTTTCAAGAGGTTTTTTTAGGGGGTAATATCAGACAAGTGTTTATAGTAAATAGAACAACTCATAATCATACATGAAAAACTAACACACATATATTAAGTAAAAAAACAAAACAAAAATAAAACACTTCGCCATGTAAGTCCCCATTCATCCTGTCTTCAAAATAATTCATAAATATTATAGGCAGCACACTGCAGTAGTGAATTCCTTCCGTTAGTATATTATAGGCAGATCTTTTGTATATGTCCGGACCAGGAATCAGTGGTAATTTAGTCGACTAAAATGTTTTGTCATAGTTTTCGTCGGCTGAATGTTTTCAGTGATGAAAACGAAATAAAAACGAAGTTAATAGGGCGATAACTATTCTATTCTGGAGATTTAGTTGACAAAACTAAACTACAAGAATTCAGATGACTAAAATATGCATTTTAGTTTTAGTCGCATTTTATTCATCTGAATGGTTTTAGTTTAGTTTAGCTGACAGTAGAGAAGATCGCAATGTATTTTCGTCATAGTTTAAGTCCTATTAACTTAGGGGGTTATTCTCAAAACTAGCCGAAGGATCAGCCGTAGCTCCGGCTGACCCTTCGGCTAGCTTCGGCCGCCTGAGCCCTTCGGTTCAGTAGAAACGAAGGGCTGCTGTACGGGCTATTCCCCATAGCCCGTACAGCTCCCGAAGCTGGCCGAGCAGCTCAATCGAGCCGAAGGCCGGCCATTGGCTGGCTGAAAGCCTCGCAACTGACAGCTGGGCGGAGCCAGCCGTGATCTCACGGCTAGCTCTGGCTAGTTGCAATGACAGTTCAGCATTCCCTGGTTACCTGGTAATCAGGGAATGCTGAACTCTCATGAGAGCTCAGCGGAGCCGGCCTTGATATCACGGCTGGCTCCGCTGAGCTCTCATTGTAATGACAATTCAGCCTGGTTACCTGGTCAAAATGCATTTGGAAACTGGAAGAAACTCTGACAGGAAGAGGTCTGGCAGACCCAAAGCCACAACAGAATCAGAAGACAAGTTTCTGAGAGTCAACAGCTTGTGTGGCAGGCGGCTCAGAGGACAACAGCTACAAGTACAGCTCAACATTGATCGAAGTAAGCAAGTTTCAACTGTGAAGAGAAGACTTCGAGCTGCAGGTTGAGTGGCAGTAAGAGAGCCAATTTGCTAAGATGGCAAAATAAGAAAAAGAGACTTGCCTGGGCCATAAAGCACCGCCAGTGGACTACTGAAAAATGTCTTATGGGCCCAATTCAAAACATAGAGGAGGAAGCATGATGGTCTGGGGCTCTTTTGCTGGATTCAGAGTCGGCGACTTGAGTGAGTGGCACTCTAAACCAAAACTACTACCACAGGATTTTGGAGCACCCTGCAATACCCTCTGGTGTATGCCTAGTTGGTCAGGGGTTCATCCTACAGCAAGATAATGACCCAAAACATTCCTCCAGGTTGTCAGAGCTACCTTAGAAGAAAAGAACAAGACAGTAGGCATCAAATCATTGAATTGCCAGCACAGTCTCCAGACTTAAACGCCATCAAGCTGGTTTTGGATGAACTGGACAGAAAGTTGAAAGCAAAATGCAACACATTTGTGGGAACTTCTGCAACAGTGTTGGGAAGAACTTTCCAAACAATATTTGATTTCCATTGTAGAAAGAATGCCACACTTGTGTTCGGCTGTTAACTCTAAAAAAGGTGGCTACTTTGATGAGTCAAAAATCTATTTATACATTTGATAAAGAAAATGATTCCACGATTTCTCTTGGATGTCCATTTGTTCATTAGTTCTATGCTTTAATTAAAGAGCACGTTGAGACATTAAACTGCATACATTTCAATAAAACCTTGAAAAATAGGGGTGTTCTAAAACCTTTGACCAGTAGTGTGTGCGTATATATATA